AGCAGGGCAGTGTCCCCCATGCCGCCCTGTCTGAAGTGACCGCGGTGGCAGCAGGGCAGTGTCCCCCATGCCGCCCTGTCTGAGGTGACCATGGTGGCAGCAGAATCGTGTACTGAGAGCTAGAGGAGAGCAGATAGAGGTGAGAGTTCTCACAGCAAAGGAGCAATTAGAGGACTGAGGACCAGACATGGTGGGGAAGGCAGGAGGGGAAGAAATAGAAACAGCCATAGAGTGAGGCTTTTGAGGGGAGACACTGACCATTAGTCATAATGGAGGAATTGCATAATGACCAAGACTGTGGACTTTGGAGTCAAACCGTTGCATGGACTTACCCCACGATAGCTCTGTGATGTTGTGCAAGTTATTTATTAAATTCTCCCCTCCTGGGGTTACTGTGAGAACTAAATGAGGGGCTGGCACAGGCTGACCTAAAGATATGGTAGAAATGGTGACTGGCTTGAGCTGTCACCCGCAGGAGCTGCTCTGCAGACACAGCGAAGCACCATCTTAGGGTTCACCATGCCCCTTCACAGAGCGAGGGAGAAGGGGGACAGCGCAGGGCTTGGGGGGGGGGGCGGGTGCTGGGAGCTTTGGGCAGAGGTGGCTTAGGGGAGGCCTGGTGCTGGTGTGAGTGTGACCGAAGGACCTGGTCCACAGACCTCACTCTTTGGCCTGCAGACCTGGGTTCTATTGTGATTTGGAGCGTTTAAAGCGACCCTCACAAGTTCTGACAGTAAAGAAGTTAAGCACTTGATTGCTAACGCCAACATGTGGAGTTTAACAGGTACCCTGTGGAAGAAAGAACTCTTGGTGCTGGAGACTCCCTGGGGCAGTCTCAGTTTGCCTGATAAAGCCTCCACGAATCCACCCACCGCAAGTCTGGTTTGGTTTGGAAAATGAATCGTCTGAAACTTTGTCAAAGCCATCTAGGAAGGGGAAATGTTCCGAGGGGACGAGGTGGGACCTGCAGGAATCTGTTGCACAAAAGGTCCCAGTTCTCACCAGAAGTGTGCAGTCACCAGAAAGAGGAACAGGCGGAAAGTGGCGGAACCGGAACAGGCTCATCTTCGCACTAGGAAGGGACCCTCAGAATGAAAGCCCCCTTCCCGCAGACTTCTGGGGTGCGCATCTGTGCGCTGGAGAATGAGGGTGAGGGTGCAGCGAGCGGAGGCCTAGGGAGAGCAGAAAGGCTGGAAGGTGAGGTGGGGTGGGATGCTGCGGACTCACAGGAGCTTGTTGCAGACTGGGGGCAGGAAGGAGCTCCGGTTCTCTTCCACCCAAGTCTTCACTTTGACTGGACGCTCCATGGTCTTGCGGAGAGCGAGCCGCGGTCTTCTCAGAGCGAGTCCTCGCCGAGAGCTCGGGGCGCGCAGCCGCCTGTGGCCGCCTGGCTAATCAGCGTCCTGGGAGTCAAAGGGCGGAGCGCCGCCTTGCCAGACACCAGTGCCAAGGTTGGGGTGCAAGCTTTGGTGTGAAGCACCCTGACCCTCAGCGCTGCCCAGTGGTGTGTGGACACGGCCCACAGGGGTCACTTTATTCCCGCTTCTCCCCCAGCAGGGGATCAGTTTTGGGCTGATTCCCCCTCCCCCCTCGCCCCGTTCCCGCCTCACCACCGGAGGCTCCTGGCACCTTGTGCTCGAGCTCAGACCCCGATAACCGATAACTCGACTTGAGACACAGGCCCGCTTATGGCCAGATTTTCCTCCAGGTCTCCAGAGAAATAACTCTGGCCGCCTCAGTGTTGGCATCTGAAGAACTGGAATGACTACAAAACCATCTCATATGATAGTTGTGCACACAGAGTTGAAAGAAAATGAGGAGCAGTCGCAGGAGTCCTCAGTTATCTCCTGGGGAGAGGGATCAGGTCCGCGCTCCATTCCGCCTTCAGTGGGTGAAGGAAGCCCTTGGGCAGAGAGGTGAAGGCGAGGAGCATGAATGAGCTGCGCCCCCAGGCTCCACGCGCGCCCTCAGGGTTGGAGCCTGAACCCAGGGCCCACTGCCCCGCCTCCTGCGCCTGCAAGTCAAAACCAATGCACGGTATTCTACCAATGAGGAAACGGGACTGACGTCCTAGCCCTGGGAATGTCAGAATGGGGGTAGGGGCAGAGGAGCCTGTGCTGTTAATACCACTATTATTCAAATATGCACACCAACAGCTAGAGCCAAAGAAGAGGAAATGGAAGATTTCTACCAAATTTGCAAGCGGAAAAGGAACCAAATATGCAGTTAAGACGCAATAATGGTATTAGAGACTGGAACGCAAAAGTTGAAAACAGTGAAGAAAGAATGGTCGTTGGAAAATATGGGTTTGTTGACAGAAATGAGGCTGGAAAACGTATGATTGAATAATGTATATTAAATGTTCTTATTCATCGCAAATACCTTTTATAAGAGACAAGAACTGCGACTATACACGTGGACCTCGCCTGATGGCCTGCACAAGAATCAGACTGACTACCTTTGTGGAATGAATCCTTGGGGAAACTCAACATTAGCAGTCAAAATGAGGCCAGGTGCTGGCTATGGAATAGACCATCAATTAATCATGTGCGAGTTCCAAATGAAGCTTAAGAAAATATAAACAAGTAAAATATATTATCTTGAGTCCATCTCACCTAAATTTAAAAATCATCTCAAGAATAGTTTGTTGTTGTTGTTTTTTTAAAATTTTATTATTTTATGTGTCTGTGTACCGTCAAATCAGATCTGACTGGTATAGGAGGAGATTGTCCCTCTTTTCCTGGCAGAGTATCTGGTGGATTCGAACAATGCGCCTCTGGGATTGCAGTGCAGCTTCTTGTCAGTAGGCCACCAGAGTTCCCCTCAAGAATAGTTTTTTATAGTTTTTTTTATTCATTTCAGTGAAAATTTACACTTTGGATTTCCATTCATTCATTGTTGCACTTTTCTCCCCGCCCATCCCTCCCACACAGTACACTCCCCTCTTTGAAAAGTCAAAGAAAAATTCTTTCATTGTTTTATGATGCCTCCCCCCTAGGTCCACTCCACTATGCAGCCTTCGCTCTGGACTCCCATCATGACAAAAATACCGAATCACATATCTCTTTTAAACAGTTTTTCTCCCTCATCTGTTTCAATGCAGTATGCATATTTAACCCATCTTTCTCAGTCTCCCCTCAACCCTGATGTCAGTCCTGTTTTATAACAGTGGTACCATGCAGTATTTGTCCTTTTGTGACTGAGATACTTCTCTCAGCATAATGTCCTCCAGGGTCACCCATTTTTAATAATATTGCATGAGTTCCTTGTTTTTCAGTGCAGCGTAGTATCCCATTGTGTGAATATACCACAGTTTCTCTATCCATTTGTTTGTTGATGGCCACTTAGGTTGTTTCCAACTCCTTGCTATTGTGAACAAAGCTGCAATAAACATGGGTGTGCATATATCTGCTTGGGTGTCAGTTATGGGCTCTTCAGGGTATATTCCCAGTAGTGGAATTGCTGGGTCAAATGGTATCTCTATTTGCAACTTTTTGAGAAAGCACCAGAACGCCTTTCACAGTGATTGTACCATTTTACACTCCCACCAACAGTGAATAAGGGTTCCAGTTTCTCCATAACCTCGCCAGCATTTATTGCTTGCTGTTCTGTAAAATTTTGTTATTCTTACTGGGGTGAGATGATATCTCATAGTTGTTTTTCAAGAATAGTTTTGAGGGTGCTCTTGTAGCCTAGTGACAAGAAGCTGTATTGTAATCCATAAGACATGTGGTTTGAATCCACCAGATGCTTCGTTAGAAAAGGAGGTGCAATCTCAGTCAGATCTAATTTAACTGCACACAAGTTAAAAAAAAAAAAAGAAAAGAAAGAATAGTTTTGAGGCGTAGAACATTGATGATTGAAGACCAGATGAGCTGTAGGATGACATTCAGGGCATTATCCTGAAGACAGCAAAAGATCATTATAAGGACAAATGAGAAAGAAAAGACTAAAACAGATGTCAGAAGAGACTCTGGAAATAGCATGAGAGCTTTGAGAAGTCAAAACAAAGGGAAGAGATGCCAGGGTCAAAGAGATGAACAGACAATTTCAAAGGGAAGCTCTAGAAGACAAATATTATAATGAAAGGTGCAGGGTCAGAGAATAAAGAGGGAAGAACTCACTTGGCAATTCTCAAACTGAAAGAACTGAAAACAAATTCAAGTCTATAATTGCAATCTTGAGAGATGCTATGGGCAACATCTTGAATGACCTAGGAAGCATCAAAAGATGGGGAGGTGGGGGAGAGGGAGGGATTACACAGAGTCACTTTACCAAAAATAGTTTGTTGATATGTAAATATTTCAGGAAGTAGCATTTAATCAAGAGCCAATAGCAATGAAGGAAGATATTCAAGCTGTACTGAAGGAGTTGACAAAAAAATAAGGTCCCAGGAATAAATGGGATATAACTTTCTTCTATAGGGCACAAATTGACATTTTTTATTAACAGATGCAGCCCTGGATGTACTCACCAGTCTACGTTAAAAAATTTGGAAGACAGTTACTTGTCTTGGCCAACTGAGTGGAAAACATCCATATTTGTTTCTAGTCCCAAGAAAGGTGATCCAATAAATGTAGGAATTATTGAACAATACTAATATCACACACTGTGAAATGAGAATCCCAGAACATTTGATTGTGCTTATGAGAAACTGGTACTTGGACCAGGAGACGGTCTTCAGAACAAAGCAAGGAAACACGTCCTGGTTCAAAATTGGGAACGGTGTACACCAAGGATGTGTCCTATCTCCATACCTTTTCAGTCTATATGCATGACAGGTTATCTGGGAGGCTGGACTCTATGAGGAGAAATGTGGCATCAGGATTGGTGTAAGACTCATCAACAATCTGCTTTATGCTGATGACAACCCTGCTTGCTGAAACTGAGGAGGACCTGAAGCACTTGCTACAAAGGGTCAAGGACTGCAGCCTTCAATATGGATTGAAGCTCAATATCAAGAAAACAAAGATTCTTACTGCTGGGCCAATTGGCAGCATTATGATAGATGGTGACGAGATTAAGATTGTAAAGAGCTTTAGTTTGCTTGGCTCCACAGTCAACACTCTTGGTACCAACAACCAGGAAATTAAAAGATGGTTTGCAATGGAAAAATCTGCTGTCAGAGACCTCTCCAAAGTACTGAAGAGCAATGATGTCACTCTGGAGACTAAGGTGCCCCTGATACAGGCCATGGTCTTTGCAATCACTTACTATGTGTCAGAGAGCTGGACAATGACTAGAGAGGTAAGCAGAATTGATGCCTTTGAGCTGTGATGTTGAAGAAGGCTATTGAATATACCATGAACTAAGAGAATGAACAGGTTCATCCTAAAGAGGTTTAAACCAAGCTGCTCCTTAGAGGCAAGGATTCTAAGGCTTCATTTGGCATACTTTGGACATATTGCAAGGAGAGACCAGTCCTTGGAGAGGGACGTCTTGCTTGGGAGGGTAGAGGGACAGCACAAGAGAGGAAGACCCTCGATGAGATGGATTGATTCAGTGGCTTAGGTAATGGGATAAGTGTGTCAGAGACAATAAGATTGGCACAGGATAGAGCAGGGTTTAGGGCTGTTGTACATAGGGTCACTATGAGTCACAGGCGACTGACAGTGCATAACAACAACAACAACATACAAAACCTATACCTAGACAAAGAAGCTGTTATGTAAACAGAACAAGGGAATCCTGTATGGTTTGTAATCAGGAAATCTTTACATCAGGGCTGTATCTGTTCTCCAAACCTATTCAAGTTGTAAGATGAGGAATTTATCCAAGAAGCTGGGCCTTATGAAGAAAAAGGTACATCAGAATTGGAGGAAGACTCATCAACAACCTGCATTATGCAGATGACAATACCTTGCTTGCTGAAAGTAAAGACTATAGCTTCAATATGGGTTATGTCTCAACATGAAGAAGACAAAAACTTCACAACTGGGCCCATAGGCAACATCATGATAGATGGAGAAAAGACTGAAATTGTCGGTGGTTTCATCTTGCTTGGACCCACAATCCACATCCTTGGTACTAATAGTCAGGAGATCAGGAGGTGCATTGCTATGGGCAAATCTGCTGTGAAGGAACTCTCCAAAGTACTGAGGAGCAAAGGTATCAGTTTGAAGACTAAGGTGTGCCTGATTCAGGCCACTGTCTTTAAATCACTTGGTAATTTAAGGATGGCTTCTAGAAGAAGGATCCATGCCATTGAATTGTGGTGTTAGAAAAGAGTACTGACTATCCTGTGGACTGCCCAAAGAACAAACAGGTAAGTCTTGGAGAAAATGAAGGCAGAATGCTTAGGGGCACG